GCAGACATCCCCTCTCTGCCAATCGACATGGAATTGGATGATCCTAACCGAGACGAAGATCTCATTCCTGCTGATACGCGCCGACACCGCAGACTGCTAGATTCTCGAACGCAAGCTGATGGAGAACTGTCCGACTCGGATGACGAGGGCGACGGCGGTCGCACGAACCATGCCAATCACAGGCTTGCCGACAGCACCACTCGTTCGGCAGGAAATGAGGCTGCAGCAGGCCGCAAATTCGGCATCATGGCATCTGGGCCCTCTGCATCAGGTGCCGGGCCCAGTGGCCGCACGAGAGTTCTGTCCTCGGGGTCTGTGTCCCAGATGGATGTCGATAGTACAGCCAGTACTCCACCCTCGCAGAATGGTACCGCCACTGCCATGGTAGTAGATAGCACTGGCACGTCCTCTTAGCTTTCGATGTTTTTGTGCCGTTGTACTTATCTCTGTATCTGTTGTCGTATCTTGAATCTTCTCACGCATCAGATAGTCTTGGATAGGTTGCCGAGGTACGTACGCCTTCAGCTCGGCCACCGCCCGAATATTCACTTTCGGGTGACATCCGCGTTCCTTTCTCCTCTTTGATGTAAAACGTAGCTGTCATCCGGTCACGCCGCTTTGTTCTCTGAACTGTGCCCCATTGCGATCATCGCAGTCATGTTCTCCGCCCACATTACTCCCACTGGACATTTTGCTTGAACACTGAAATCTTGAGAAATGAAATCGATGGTTTCCCAACTTCTCAGTGATCTACAGGCGAGCCGGAAGAATGGATTAATGACATATCACCGTTACGTCGACGGATTAACCTGCTTCTACTGTACCCTATAAAGACGCAGCTCGATACCTTTCCATCGCTACATTCAAGCTCTTTCCGTCATGGTGACTTCTATCGATCAAGCTCGCTGCATCCTCGTTGTCGGCGCTACCTCCGGGATCGGACGCGCGCTTGCGCTCGCTATCTCTGAGCTGCCGAGCAAGCCCACCGTGATCGCTGCCGGAAGAAGAGCAGATCGCCTGGCTGAACTTGCCGCCAAGGGCCTGAAGACTGTCCAGCTCGACGTCACTGAGGATGATGCGGCGTTGAAGACCAAGGTCGACGCTTTGATCGCCCAGTACCCTACTGTATGTGTACCGGACGCGACATTTCCGGTGTCCCGAATCTGAACCACGTCCAGCTCGACGGAGTCTTGCTGTGCTCGGGATCCAATACCAGCAGAACTTCTTGGGCGAGGTCAAGCTTCAGGGTACGCGGCTTGTCTCCGATCTCGTTGCTGCTGCCTCTGACATCTGAATTGCAGAAATGAAGAAAGAAGTGCAGGTCAACTACTTGGCGGTGGTGACCCTCATCACGTTGTTCTTGCCGCACTTCCTGAAGCTTTCGGTGAGCACCATGCCATGCCCTTCCCGCAATTTGCTCAATCACAAACGTAGGGCGAAGGACTGCCGTCCTGGATCATCCCTGTTTCCTCAGGCTTGGGCATCCTGCCTTCCAGCCAGATGCCCAACTACTCTGCGACCAAGGCCGCCCTGCGCAGCTTCACGATCTCTCTGCGCGACCAGCTGACTGAGACCAAGGTCGGTGTCATCGACATCATCCCGCCGTAAGTGGCCTGGCTATATGCGTGTCTTCAGCACTGATTCAAGTCCAATTCCAGCCTGGTCGAGTCTGAGCTGCACGATGGTGCGTCTCTTTGCAGTGGCGTGCAACGAATTCTCCGTGCTGATATGCTTTGACAGAACAAGGCACCACCGCATTCCTGTCGAAGATCTGGATGCCGCTGGTGGACTACACAGCCCACACGCTCAAGGGCCTGCGCGAAGGAAAGACAGATATCGGAGCGGGCATGTCCGAGAAGGGCGTCGAGCGTCTCATCGCTGCTGGGTTCAACGTCCCCATGCCCATTCCCAAATTCCACTAATTAGTGTCACTACGAGTGCCCCGAATGTAATAATCACATGAAATGATAAACAGAAATCCCGTAGCAAGTGTCGAATGATGCAGCGCATCTTAGCGATTGAGTTCGTTTCGGAAAGGGTCTCGAAGCAGATCGCTTCGGATTTCCTGCACCTGCCAGCAGCAATGCGAAATTGGAAGGGTGATACAACGTGCTGTAATCAGAATGCGCCAGAAAGCAATGGTTTCTGGAATCTCAGTAGCATGATCACTATAACCTGCCTACCACCGAGTGAGCTGACCGGGTGACTCCAGCTCGAGAAGATGCACTGGCTGCCAGCCTTCCGAAGCTCCAGACCATCCATGAGATCCCCGTCCACATATGTCAGTAACCTCGTGCTTCGTCGACAAAGGGTAGAGTTTGTGGCGCAGAAAATGCAGCGAGGGCCAAGAGTTGTCCTCGTGGCCGCGTCGCGAGTAGGGATTCAGATGGGCGGACACTTTGATTTGCCGAGAGACCAGGCGGTCTTCTGAGACGAAGCTGAATCTTGAAGAGTTGCCAGTGGGACAAGCAAGCGACACAGCTCTTTCGGAAATTGTCCAGGATCCGAACAATTGCATAGAGTTCTCTCCGTGCATGTATTGGAGAGGGATTGATCATGGTGAGCTGAGCAGGGCGAGCGAGACGATGTCACAACGCGTGATATGTGACACAACGCGTCAGTAGTGTCACTCCGCCAAGGTCTCTGCTGCTTGCGATGTCGCCGACAAGAATTCTTCCTGTCCTATGGCCCAGTGCACGTACAGGTAGCAGTTGAATTCGCCGGTAAAAGGCAATACTTTTGGATACAAAGCGCACAACAGACAATTGTCACAGTGAGGAGGATAATATCAGCACCTGGATATGTAGACATACAACTGATCAGGTACCACCGGAATAAACAAAGTTTCGTAGGCACACACTTCTTACATGTCTGGCTGTAATACAGATTAAATCAGAGCAGGAGATTCAAGATTGTAGAAGTACGGGCTGTCACGGTCTGTGCCGCAGTTTCAACTTCCATTGTATCATGCAGGTAATGGCTCCAGATGTTTTTACCTCGGCAATCGCTTCGAGGTCATCTCCAGGCTTGAATTCAGCTCACCGAACATCTTGAAGTCTTTTGGAGATTAACTGTCCGAAGGCGGCTATTCCAGGATGTATAGTATTTGCGGAGCGCTGGCTCGCCTCGTCTCGCACGGCGGCACTTACCGAAACCACGCCAGCGAAACACGATGCATTTCCACGGTCTCGGATGGGGTCGCCGGTTTACGTACTACAGCTGCATGGACATCGCCCCAGTCTCCGCACTCGGGTGTCTTCCGTGTTCTCTCCTGCCCTCTGTAAAATATTACTGTCATCCAATCACTCTGCCGAGGTTTCCTGCACTTTGACCTTTCGCGATCATCGCAGGCATGTTCAACCCTCTCGGGTCAAGAGCTTACTGTGTAATCTTTCGATGTTTCAACAAAATAAGGCCTATTCAATGGAAGGCGAAGAACAAGACAATTCAAACGCGAGATTTCCTAGATTTATCTCTCTGTGCCATCGCATACAAACTGCGCTGACAATGTGCGGCACACAGCCAGTGATCGCATCGTTTCTTACGCCCGCAATGTCGAACATGGTGTAAATCCCAGCATACTTCATCCTGCTTCTTATCCTGCTTCCCCACCAATCACCGTGAGAGTTGCATGCAACTGCATCGCTTGCCAACTGCAATATAATGACATACCAGCCTTACGTCGACGGATTAATCTGCTGCTGCCCTATAAAGACGCTCTTCGAAACCTCGGTGCCATCGCTACATCCAAGCTGTTCTTACCATGGCGACTTCCATCGATCAAGCTCGCTGCATCCTCGTTGTCGGCGCTACCTCCGGGATCGGACGCGCGCTTGCGCTCGCTATCTCTGAGCTGCCGAGCAAGCCCACCGTGATCGCTGCTGGAAGAAGAGCAGATCGCCTGGCTGAACTTACCGTCAAGGGCCTGAAGACTGTCCAGCTCGACGTCACTGAGGATGATGCGGCGTTGAAGACCAAGGTCGATGCCCTGATCGCGCAGTACCCCACTGTATGTGTGACACCCGCGATATCTGCGTCATCCTGAATCTGAACCTCATCCAGCTTGACGGGGTCTTGCTGTGCTCGGGCATCCAATACCAGCAGAACTTCCTGCGCGAGATCGCGCTTTCAGGTATGCGCCTGTTTCCCATATTTTAGCTGCCACCGATCCAAAACATGAACTGCAGATGTGAAGAAGGAAGTACAGGTCAACTACATGGCGGTGATCACGCTCATCACGATGTTCCTGCCACACTTCCTCAAGCTCTCGGTGAGCACTGTCCTATCCCATCGGAGCCGCGGCATGCTCAATCGCAATGCTAGGGCGCTGGTCTGCCTTCCTGGATCATCCCCGTCTCTTCAGGCTTGGGCTTGCTTCCTTCTAGCCAGATGCCCAACTACTGCGCGACCAAGGCTGCACTGCGCAGCTTCACAATCTCTCTGCGCCGACAGCTGCTCGAGACCAAGGTCAGCGTCATCGAAATCATCCCACCGTAAGTCGCTCGTCCGGCTATATGCGCGTTTTCGGGACTGATCCGAGCCCGCCTGCAGCCTTGTCGAGTCCGAGCTGCACGATGGTTCGTCTCTCCATGGTGGCGGGTATGCCGAGCTGACGTGACCTGACAGACCAAGGCACGACCGCGTTCCTGTCGAAGATCTGGATGCCGCTGGCGGACTACACGGCGCACACGCTCAAGGGTCTGCGCGAAGGAAAGACGGACATCGGAGCGGGCACGTCCGAGAAGGATGTCGAGCGGTTCATTGCTGCTGGTCTCAATGCGCCGGTGCCAGTTCGCAAGTTCGACTGATTGATCAGTACAAGTGTACCAATGTAAACATGACATGACATGGGGATCGCTCCGCCGTACTTGGAGAGTGATATAGAACGTATCAGCAAGGTTGTGACCGAGTCGATATCAGGTTTTCGAACTCCATTTGTTACACAATGAATCTTGGCCATCGAAGTGCACACGACATCCCTGTCAGGCGTGATGATGAAATTAGAGAGCAGTATCATATATTCACCAGCTCCTCTACCGGAGCCAGGCTGATGTATTCCATCAGGCAAAGCATTTACAAGAGAGGCAAGCATCTCGACGAAAGGCTTCGAATATATACGACTTGAGTTGATACAATGGACAAAGTGGATAGAAAGAGCGTGGTCAGACTAGATTCTCCAGTAATGCGAAAGCAGACAAATGCAGCGAGCGTCGGTTGGCCACTAGGTCTTGGGGATGTGCAGATTGATGGCTTTACCAGCCGCATCAGAACTGCACCCGACACAGGCAGCACAGCAGGCTCACCTCTGAACCAATTTAATGCATCAGAAGGTGTCGGCGCATCAAAGTACAGAATCGCCTTGTTATCTACCAACCGCAGGGCTGGAAAAAGGTCAGACCGCCGCAAGCGCACGGGAGAGCGCAGGAGCCCACCATTGCCATGCACAATGCTCGCAGGCTGCGGCAGCGTCTGCATGCGCAACACAGCCCACAGATCTACGGCGCACTGGGGATCCTGTCCTTCCGACGGATCCCGACAGAGAACAAGCAGATCGTTACACAAAATGCCGACCAGGGCCGCGGCGTCAGTTCTGGTGCTAGACAGTCAACTTGGACCGTGCACGGATCTCCTTGCGCGTTGAGAGCCTCGAAGGAGACCATCGCCTTGCGCACAACACGTGTCAACAGCAGATGCCCATCCATGATGAGCCGCCGGTGGGGCTGCACCAAGGGACTCGGGAATCGTCCTCGGATTCGTGCCTGCCACTGCACCAGTTTCTGACGCGATTCAGATTCACGTTTGCCTTCGTTCATGTTGTTGGCCAAAGAGAGATCTCAGCCAACGAGCGGTCTAACGGATCGTCCATGTACTCGAAAGTGGGCGGTGTCGCTCGCAGCAGTTCCTCAAGCTGCATGTCATTCAGTACAGTCAGTTGGAGAAAAAGAACAGTCCGCCCACCAGCAATCGATACCGCGGAATGCGCTGTACAGGAAGCAGTAGATAACCCTCCAGATTCAGCTGAGAATGTCGAGGGTTGATCTGACACCGTTTCATGAAAGTTCGCAGCCGTTTGCGTTGGCTTGTGGACAGAGCAGGCAGCCCAGGTGCGACACTGCTTTCTGGGGAAACGGGATTCGAGACGGCAGACAGAGCAAGACCGAGACCGGCCAATTGAGAAGTAGAGGGGGTTATTGCAGGGGTCGAACTGACAGGTGCCGCTGCTCTCGTCCAACTCTGGACTCGCTGGACAGCACTGTCAAAGTTGCTGCACGGCATCATCAGTCAGTACGAAATACGCGACAGGTGACTCGCGGCTCACTTGATGTAAGTAGAATACATGCGCATGAACGCAGCGTGTTTGAGGAACATGCTGCCGATAGCTTTGGCAACGGTCAGCGACAACTGACCGTCTGCATCGGCTTCGGCAAGATCCGCACTCGATTTCATGATGGGTGCAGCGGCGATCTCCAGTGCGGGCAGGAAGCTGTCTTTGTGGAAAGAAAAGAGTGCCTCGATGCCCGCAAACGCGACTTTCCGCTCGGAGGCAGGGACAACCGTTTCTTTGCTTGAGCTGCCGAGCACGTTGACGGGGGCAGAGCCTGGTTTGATGTAGATATCCACCAGCTCATGCAGTCCCTTGACATAGGTCCGCTCCGTTCTGCTGCCCGGTCAGTGTCTGTTCGAAGGACTGTGTGATGACGACGCACACGACGATTTCCCGAACCACCATAGCGCGTTTGCCCTTGTCATCCTTGTACTTGCGCTCGTCGCTACCCGATCCACTGCTGTCCGTGGTGGCTACGCTATTCGTTTGCGTCGATCCTCGCATGCTAGTCATAGAATCGAGCGACCGCAACTGCCCGGATTCGGTAGAGCTGCCCGTAGAAGCCATGGAAGCCTCTCGCTCGAGTCCTGTTGGTCTTCTCTGGCGCATTCCCACGACAAGCTCCTCTCCGCCCTGGCCGTACGTTCCCAATGCGGCAGCCTGCTGCGAGACCCCCAAGTCGTTCATGTCCTTGAGGTAGGCCATCACACTTCGCAAAGCCCGCTGGTATGCATCTCTTGCCCGGTCCTCCTCCCGGCGCATCCAGTTCTCGCCAGCGACCCCGACCGGACTGGGCAGCGGGGTCCCATCAGCTTCGATGTCACCGGTCACAGTGACGTTGGGCATGAATGCCGAGGCATCGGGGATGGGAATGTTGAGGCCCCCATGAGGCACTGCGTCCAGCGGCAGGAAACTGCGTCGTTTGGTGGTCCGTGGTGTGGGCCCGGGGCGAGTAGTCCGGATGCACCAGAAGCCGGTGCCGTGAACATGCTATCCAACCTCGATTCCGACTCGACAGAGACTGTGGGCGGTGCGCTGCTGTGGAAAGAATCCAGCGCTCCGGTCGTGGATATCCTCATGTTGATTTGCGGTATGCCATTCGACGGCCCCGAAAGTAGGGGCGCAGTGCCTGGCGCCCTAATCATCCCAGGGCGAGGCGGAGAAGGCCGCGGCGACGCTGGATCTGGCTTCATCTTCCCCATTGACATCTTCTTCAGGAAGCCCCAGCGACTTTTTTCCTTGCCGTCTTTGCCAACTCGGATCGTCGTGGAAGATTCGTTGCGGCTGGGAGACGGATGTTCGGTCTGGGAAACACGATTGGGAGCATTCCACATCGAGTTGGTCAAAGGAGGTCGTCCATTCGCTGGAGAGTAGGTCACCGGACTCACGCCCAGTGTGGTGGAAGGCCCGACACACCAAATCGCTTCTGCGCGGGTGTATGTCTTGCAGAAGATTGGTGCTGGAGCGAGACGTGCTGGCCGTAGGCGCTTCGAGATGACTCAATCCCAGGCCCTGCCTCAGTTCGCCAGCACTCTTCATCCTACGAACTTCAGCAGGGCGATCGACGAAGTAGCCCGCATCCTCGTTTTCTGGCTGAGGTGTTCCATGTCGCGAGACCACTGGGTTAGCACGATTGGGTGTCGTTCTCGTCCGGGTCAACCCGCCTCTTGTCCCATCACCAGGCGAGCGTGATCGTGCCATATCCGGGTGATTGTGTGATCTTCATCTATGGTGTTCTGAAATCTGCTCGAGCTGGACCTGAGCTGGGAGGCTCAGATTGTTCGTCGTCAGTCGACGTTTCAGCGGACGAAGGAGAGTGCATCGATGTCGGAAAGTCGGCGTCGAGAGCGGATAAATCGGAGTAGAAGGAACTTTGCGAGTAAAGGCTCGACCAGAGCTTTCCAAGGGCCCTGGAATGGATTGCCATCTACGTAGAGCGTCTGCAGATCTGGCAGCACCGCCAACCAACTGGGCAATGCATGCATCTTGTTCCGCCGCACGCTGATTGTGTGCAACTTGTCGCAGTCCGCCAATGCGTCTGGCAGGGTAGACAGACCCGTGGAGTCCGCGATGAGTACGCGCAGATGCACGAGTCAGGCGAGGAAAACCGGTAAGAACCCGAAGTGGATTTGAAGCAATGTTAAGCTCTTCAAGGCAGATACACAGTGCAAGGGTCGGGGGTAGAGCGCTGAGGAGTTGGTGGCTGAGATGTCTATATGCAAGAGTGAGGTGCAGATCTGCGGGACGACCGCGGTAAGGAAGGCCGGCAAACTGTTGGGGGCGACGTACCGCAGAGTTGAGCAAAAGGTGGGGTCGTGCCTGTTAACGTTATAGCGTAATCAACATGAGCTGTAGGGCGGACGCACACCTGGTTGCACAGGCAACTCTGATAACACAACGCCCTCGCCCTTGACGATAAGACCCGCCCGCCCTTCATCGGCCACTAAGGCCGCCGCATTGCGTTCGTTCCTCGCTTTCCTCGTCATCTCGGTCATCATCGTCAAGTAACAGATCGTCCGCATCCTATCTTCTTCACTCGCGCCAAATTCATCCCGCTCATCCAACGCCTGCTGCCATGACAT